CCAAATTGAAATGTAACTGGTATCTAGGATGATTAATACTTGATATAGAATGCTAACAGCGGAAAATACACAGGAGCACCTGGGTGCTCCACCCCCCTATATATTTTTTTGAATTTTCCTGTTTTGTTTCTTGAACTCCGCCTATGTTGTCTCAACATAGCCGGTCCTAAGCCCGGGTAAAGGAGGAGGGTTGTGATAGGCTTGGCGAGCCAACGTAAAAACTCAGCCACTCTTATGGAGATGAAACCCAAAAGATTTTCGTTGGGGCGTAACCCTCTTAGCGACGCGCTACATCGGAACCCGGGTGTGGTGGAAAATGGGCAAGGGCCGGGCCATCACCCCTAAGGTGGCACGCCGTATCTTGATCCGGGTACGGTGGCAAGTGAGCGAGGATCGGGTCGTTGCATCCTTAGTGGCGCGCTACATCGTCGCCCGGATGTAGTGGAAAATGGGCAAGGGTCTTCGCATTTGACTCGACGAGTGTGAAGGGTAAGGAAGCTAGCCGCGCTTAGGTAGCTGGAACGTAGGGTCTCTGACAGGGAAGCTTCGGGAGCTAGTTGATGCAGCGGTGAGGAGAGGTCTTGATATCCTTTGCGTCCAAGAAACCAAATGGAGAGGACAAAAGGCGAAGGAGGTGGAAGATACCAGCTTCAAGCTGTGGTACACGGGGACGGCTGCAAACAGAAATGGCGTAGGCATCTTGATCAACAAGAGCCTCAAGTATGGAGTGGTAGATGTCAAGAGACATGGGGACCGGATTATCCTGCTCGAGCTGGTAGTTGAGGACGTGGTTCTCAATGTTATCAGCGCGTATGCCCTGCAAGTAGGCCACAAGGAGAACACCAAGAGGGAGTTCTGGGAAGGCCTGGAAGACATGGTTAGGAGTGTACCGATTGGTGAGAAGCTCTTCATAGGGGGAGACCTCAATGGCCACGTGGGTACATCTAACACAGGTTTTGAAGGGCGCACGGGGGCTTTGGCTATGGCATCAGGAATCAAGAAGGAGAAGATGTCTTAAGCTTTGCTCTAGCCTACAACATGATTGTAGCTAACACCCTCTTTAGAAAGAGAGAATCACATCTGGTGACTTTTAGTAGTGGCCAACACTCTAGCCAGATTGATTTCATCCTCTTGAGAAGAGAAGATAGGCGTGCGTGCCTAGACTGTAAGGTGATACCTGGAGAGAGTGTTGTACCCCAACATAAGCTGGTGGTTGCTGATTTCCGCTTTCGGATTCGTGTCCAGCGGGATAAGCGTGCCAGAGTCGCTAGAACGAAGTGGTGGAAGCTCAAGGGGGAGGTAGCTCAAGCGTTCAAGGAGAGGGTCATTAAGGAGGGCCCTTGGGAGGAAGGAGGGGATGCGGACAATGTGTGGACGAAGATGGCGACTTGCATTCGTAAGGTGGCCTCGAAGGAGTTTTGAGTGTCCAGGGGAAGGAGAAGCGAAGATAAGGATACCTGGTGGTGGAATGATGATGTCCAGAAGGCGATTAAAGAGAAGAAAGATTGCTTCAAACGCCTATACCTGGATAGGAGTGCAGACAACATAGAGAAGTACAAGATGGCGAAGAAGGCCGCAAAGCGAGCTGGGGTCGGGCATATGAGGACCTCTACCAACGGTTAGGCACGAAGGAAGGCGACAGGGACATTTATAAGATGGCCAAGATCCGAGAGAGGAAGACAAGGGATATTGGCCAAGTCAAAAGCATCAAGGATGGAGCAGGCCAACTCTTGGTGAAGGACGAGGAGATTAAGCATAGATGGCGGGAGTACTTCGACAAGCTGTTCAATGGGGAGAATGAGAGTTCTACCATTGAACCGGACGACTCCTTTGATGAGACCAGCATGCGTTTTGTGCGGCGAATCCAGGAGTCTGAGGTCAAGGAGGCTTTAAAAAGGATGAAAGGAGGCAAGGCGATGGGTCCTGATTGTATCCCCATTGAGGTATGGAAAGGTCTCGGGGACATAGCGATAGTATGGCTAACCAAGCTTTTCAACCTCATTTTTCAGGCAAACAAGATGCCAGAAGAATGGAGACGAAGTATATTAGTACCAATCTTCAGGAACAAGGGGGATGTTCAGAGTTGTACTAATTACCGTGGAATTAAGCTGATGAGCCATACAATGAAGCTATGGGAGAGAGTCATTGAGAACCGCTTAAGAAGAATGACAAGCGTGACCAAAAATCAGTTTGGTTTCATGCCTGGGAGGTCGACCATGGAAGCCATTTTCTTGGTACGACAACTTATGGAGAGATATAGGGAGCAAAAGGACTTGCATATGGTGTTCATTGACTTGGAGAAGGCCTATGATAAGATATCGCAGAATGTCATGTGGTGGGCCTTGGAGAAACACAAAGTCCCAGCAAAGTACATTACCCTCATCAAGGACATGTACGATAATGTTGTGACGAGTGTTCGAACAAGTGATGTCGACACTGATGACTTCCCGATTAAGATAGGACTGCATCAGGGGTCAGCTTTGAGCCCTTATCTTTTTGGATTGGTGATGGATGAGGTCACAAGGGATATACAAGGAGATATCCCATGGTGTATGCTCTTTGTGGATGATGTGGTGCTAGTTGACGATAGTCGGACGGGGTAAATAGGAAGTAGTTATGGAGACAAACCTTGGAATCGAAAGGGTTTAGGCTTTTTTTTTGAGGTAAAGGGTTTAGGCTTAGTAGAACTAAAACCGAGTACATGATGTGCGGTTTCAGTACTACTAGGTATGAGGAGGAGGAGGTTAGCCTTGATGGCCAGGTGGTACCTCAGAAGGACACCTTTCGGTATTTAGGGTCAATGCTGCAGGAGGATGGGGGTATTGATGAAGATGTGAACCATCGAATCAAAGCCGGATGGATGAAGTGGCGCCAAGCTTCTGGCATTCTCTGTGACAAGAGAGTGCCACAAAAGCTAAAAGGCAAGTTCTACAGGACGGCGGTTCGACCCGCAATGTTGTATGGCGCTGAGTGTTGGCCGACTAAAAGGTGACATGTTCAACAGTTAGGTGTGGCGGAGATGCGTATTTTGAGATGGATGTGTGGCCACACGAGGAAGGATCGAGTCCGGAATGATGATAAACGAGATAGAGTTGGGGTAGCACCAATTGAAGAGAAGCTTGTCCAACATCGTCTGAGATGGTTTGGGCATATTCAGCGCAGGCCTCAAGAAGCTCCAGTGCATAGTGGACGGCTAAAGCGTGCGGAGAATGTCAAAAGAGGGCGGGGTAGATCGAATTTGACATGGGAGGAGTCCGTTAAGAGAGACCTGAAGGATTGGAGTATCACCAAAGAGCTAGCTATGGACAGGGGTGCGTGGAAGCTTGCTATCCATGTGCCAGAGCCATGAGTTGGTTGCGAGATCTTATGGGTTTCACCTCTAGCCTACCCCAACTTGTTGTTGTTTCTTGAATTTAATACTCATTTAGGGGGTGGAGCACCTGAGTGCTCCAAATCCTCTTCCGCTAATAGCGTGCTATATTTAAAAATAGCATTTTGCATAAAAAATAGCAAATATATCGCAAAGGAATAATTTACAAAGAAAGGAACACTCCTAACTGGAACCATATGACAGCTAGGCTCAGCGCAGGGATGTTCCTATTTTGCAAGGAAAGGGAACGCTCCTAATGGAACTTGCTGGAGTTGGAGGTATGGCTGACACCTCTACTTGGAGGTGTGTCTGACGCCGCTACTTGGAGCTGCTGCTGCTCATGAACTTGTTTGGGACTTAAAGACTTTCTTGTTGTTGTTGCTGTACAAACTTAACCTGAACTATACTAGCATTTGATGAAGAAGAAACTTAAACTGAGAGGCATGTCATGATAATTGATTAATTGTTTCTTCTTGCCCCTCAGCATGCTCATCCTTGTTTCTTGATCAGGTTGTTTGGCTGAGAAACTTTTGAACTTTTGAGGACAAGTCTAGCGCCATTAATCAAAACACCGGTGTTAATGAAAGTCTTACTGAGATGATCATGAAGTGCCACTTCCCTGGGCAGAGACTGGCTGTTGGAAAGCCTGAATATAAAAAAATTATTGAAGAGCATTTGGTTGTATAAGCTCCTGGTTTCCCTATATTTTTGAACAAATTTGATCACCATTTTTGCTGTCTTTTTTCAGAAAATAACCTGCGTGTGTGATCCAACTGTGATGGAGTTAATGTGGGGCATACAGATTCGCATGCCAAGTTTGGTGCCTAAAGAAACATCAGGTCCGACTGAAGATGACCACCTCCCGATGAGTCAAGGACTGAGAAAAGTGTTGAGAGATTATGGTTGTGATTATGTCAACCCCGAGATGGTGAGTTAATTAGTTGCTATGCCTTTTTGCTTTGTAGCTTCCTGTCATTTGGTGTTACACTGCATGAGAGCTTGTTTGCTGTGCATTTAAAATCCTTCATTTTTTACGCAACTTCTATAGAAAAAATATATTATTTGCATCTTTCCTTTAGTGATGAAACAATCCTTTTTGTATCCAGCTCGATCAGCCAATTCTTTTAACGGCTTGTGCTTTGTTTGAGTGTGATTCTCTTGAGGACGAGAAATCTGAAGAATTGAGCCATTTAGCTAAACTAATTAAGGTGGTGTCTGGCATCAACACCGAGGGTTGGGACTCACTGAAAATTGCAACAGCTCTGAAGAAGATATGGTGCCCTGAAGAAGCTGCCAATTCTTGTGAGGTAAATTATATGTACTATTTTGTGAATGTGTTGCCAGCTGCTGCTATGCATTTCTTGGAAATTTACCACTTTTTAAATGTCCAAGTTGTCTCTTTCAGATCATTTCAGAAGGCGATGTATCAAGGTTGGTGAATGATGCAGATAAATATAAAGTTAAGCTGGAAAAGGATGCTTGCTTGGAACTTTCTAGAGAAATCATGAAATCTCGTGGTGTTCGGGCATCGAAAGAAAAAGTACTGCAAAAATATGCTGAGCAGGCCAAGAAAGCATATGAAGCACAGAAGCTTATTAACCATTAATGGGCTCACAGCTGCTGAAAGTGTTTCAGCTAGTTAACTTGTCCTTATTCTGAAACGCATGCTGATCTTGGTTGACTTTATTTGTATCTTTTTAAGCTACTCTCAGCCTGAACATGGCCGGCATGACTCTACTCTGACATTGTATCGTTTGGCTATCTTGTTCGATTGGCTACTAAAATTACATGTCGCCTTTTTTTCACTTTGAATGGGGATTTTTGGTCAATGGAACATCTCATTGGTTATGTGCTTTTTGAAGGTTCGTTTTCACTTCCATACACTAAGAAAAAGGTTAACGCTAAATGATGGAATTAGCTTCTATTGCCTTAGAGCAACTCTAACCGACCCTCCAAGAGGCGGCGTCAGAGGTTTAGAAAGTTCTTTTTTCTCTCAATTGCACCTAACTGATGCCTTTTCGGCGTTGGAGTAAAATTATTACTCCGGGGCTCCCAACTCTCAAATATGCTTGCCACCCACCGTTGCGTAAAACTTCTCCACCCAACACTGCATCATTGCAACTTCTCCACCCCACACTACATCATTGCTGGCGAAGAAGCTTGCTAATTGCTGCCATCGTCGGAATCAAGCTCTATCGCCGCCACCACCGTGTCGATCCGTTGTCGAAAGCACGCACATCTTTTGAGCCTCTCTGTTGACCGCCGGTCATCTTGATGCCTCGCTTAACACTAGCAGCACTGGCCGGCCGTGACACCTTCTCCGCCCTTCAAGCGTTAGACAGATTGCCTCGATAAGTTTCTTTTGTGCTTTTCCATCTTGTTACTTCCTTTGGCAATTGAATTGAACCTAGTCATTTTTAGTGTAGATGAAGAGGAAGGTGATTTTCGCAACTCTTTGTCGGAGGAAGAAGACATTGACAACTTGGAAACAACCATTGCCATGATCTTCGACGACTCCATGGGTTACGTTTGAAATACCCATTTGTACACCTCATCTACAATCAAGGCAACACCATAAAAAACAGGTCCCATGTGTGGTGTATTTCTGTGAACAGGCAAAAAATCATATTGTATTGGTTTGTGCTATATGTAGAGGTGAAGGACACCATTATTCCAAACAAAGTTGTCTCAATTTTTTTATTCCAAACAAAGCATAACTTTTTCTACAGAAAGCATCAACCCAATATACGTTTTTCATTTGTTTTTCTGACAAAATTTGAAAGCGTTTGCAAGCAAGCATGTTGTTTTCCAACACGTAAGAAATACTAGTCCAATTGTTTAGCCCATTGCCCTATAGCCAGCCCATCAGGAGAAGGGGGTGGAGGGGCAAGCAAAGGCATTTCCTATTTGGTGCCTTAAGCGTCCGTTATTGTGTATTTTGCAAATGGGCGCCCCCCTCCTCTGCGCTTGGCCGGCCTATTTGCTTTTTTTTACTTGTTCTATTAATATAATGTTTGAAGATTTTATATTTGAATTTGAACAAATTTGATTCAAACACTAAATTGCTTATAACTTTTATTTAAAAATAGGTTTTTGATTGATTCTTTTTGCACTTTGTCACTAGATCTTTTGCCTATCCAGTAAGGTTTCACTTTTTTGGAATAATTTAAAATTGATTTATAGCAAAAACAGTACTGTTTTGACTATAGATTGGTTTTATTCATAAACTATTTGTTTTCAAGTAATTCTTTTTGTCGCTATTGACAAATTATAATATGTTTCTGTTAGACATCAGTAGACAATTTTTATAATTAATTAAAATTATGTTGCTATTGTTTTGTATTAAAACTTGTATAGATCATAACTAGAGTTTTATAATAGCAATTAAGTTGATTCTTTTTGCTAATAAAACTTTGAGCAAAATACTTTCCATTGAACTAAACAATTATATTTTCTTTTCTGTTAAAATTTTATTTCTAGATCAGAGAGCATTATTTGTTTTTATTTGATGTTCTTGAGTTTTCCCTAAGTTCTTCATAGTTTCTTTTAGCTTTCTTTATGTTTCTTTATGATTTCTTTTGTTTTTGGAGTGATTGATTATAGGAATGCAACTGTTTGGTTACGATAGATTTCTTGGAGTGTGACAAATAGATCAGTCAATTGTGAGAGCGATGAATTCCACCAACAAGTACCAGACAAGTTCACTTTGATCATGATTATCACCATACCCATGTTTTTATTGCATTTAGTATTTATTCTTTCCCACCATGCATGCAAAATAGGTAAACTGGAAACTTGGACTTGAATAATGAGGTAGGAACCCAATGTCCTCTGTTACCGAGCCCTGGGAACGTTATTATTTTCAACTGCTATGGTTGGCAGACGGGGATTGGTATGGGTGTTCATGAGAGTTGTGAGAGTGATGAATTATATTTGATGATGATAACTTCAAGACCTCAAGGACTCAAGACATGATTTTACAAATATACCTATGGGTGGAAATTGGATGAACGACGCCCTGGAGGACCCAGTGGTTAGCCTAGGTGTCGCTGGGGAAGTGCTAGTCAATCACGCGGAAAGTTCCACCCAAGTTCAAAGAGACGGATGAATACTTCAAGATCGGAAGCTTACCTGTGTAGCCACAAGTCAATATGGGCTCTATCTTGGTTGACTCTAGTTGTGACTTTGGCCGGACGGTGGTAGCAGATGTAGAAGAACTATAGGATTTGATGGGCACCGACAGTGGCCCAGAGGAACTCTTTGGAAGACCATGTTTCATTCATCATGTTCTCAAACACCAGGCAGTGCAAGGTCGATTCTTGTGGGTAAAGTGCATAAAACGCTGCAGAGTGTAAACCTAATCGATTAGATGTGTCCTCGGTTAAGGACAACTTGAGCCTCTGGAATTGGATCTATCCCGGAACTCTCAATACCGCACTATAAATGGACTATCTGATGAATTGATTAGTGGGATTTAATAATGAATTTGGGATATGAGATTTGGTTGGTGGAACAATCTCATCACTTTGTAGTAATTAATTTGATTCCATTATAGTAGCGAAAAACTAGCTTTTATGCAAAAACTCAGACTTAGAGCTACCACAACCATATTGCGTATAGATATAGACGTTTAATCTACTTTCTCATGTGATCTTGCCAGTACGTTCAAATTACTGACTTACACGGCTGCAACTTATCATGTTGCAGGATTTCTATGACGGATAAGAGTTACGTTGTAGGGTTACGGCCTACACTCAACTTGCCGTTGGCATTGATGGGACTCCACACCCTTATGATTGTATTTCCACTATGTTATATGAGGTATACTCTAGATCTACGTTACCTTTTTAACATGTGATGTTATGGTATTTCATCGATGTATTGTGTGTGCTGGCATACTGATCCAGGGATAGCATATAAAGCACAAAGGGACTGATCCATTTGGGTTGGGTTGCTATATAGATGGTATCAGAGCACATGTTGACCGTACGACATGACCCTAGAAACTGGAAAGCCGTAGGACATGATCTCTCTAAAACTTTATTTTCAAAAAGATCCTTTACCTCCCATCTTTTCTGTGCTTTATCAAATATTTCCTCTTACCTCAGATAGTTAGACAATACCCCTTTCCCCTTTGACCACACGGAGGATCAACTAAGACGACTCCAAGAAGGACGAGATATCGGACAACTTATGACCACTTCATAGTAAACTGGATTTCACCATGCATTAGAAGAATTGAAGCTACAACATTCGAAGACTCCGAAGACTCGAAGAAATTGAAAACCGTGAAGAATTCCAAGATTTATATGACCTTTAGAGGACCAGACCATGTTATACACACACATTAGATGCGGTGATTTGTGAGCTATCATTTTTGTGGTCTTCTGACAGCAAACAAATAAAACATATTTTCAAAACTATATTATTTGTATGGGTATCTATATCTCTATCGACATTCTATCTCCCTCTAAACCCGAGACATACACTGGAGGAGTTACTACGTGGGTATGTAATGTTGAGAATTCAGTGAAGATGGATGCAACCAAGCGATGAGTTCAAACTTAACCACAGACACCCGGATCCAACAAGAATCAAGCAAAATAGCTTAACTACAGACACCCGGATCAAACAAGAAGCAAGTAAAATTTTGTTGAAGGAAGAACCTGGAAGAAGCTATGACTTCATCAACAGACATTAATAGGAATTTACGCAAAACTTGAGAGTTGTGAAGAAACGATAGATGTTTAGTTTGGCTTGCAGAATTGATGGATTTATTCGAACTTAGTTCGTGGACAAGAGATATTCCACGATGCTTGTGAGAATGCCCGAGTGTTAGCAAGCGAGATTTGCTAAATCTTATACAAGGTAATGATTTGGGTGCGGAATGGATTGATCACCATGAAGACTACTTTTATCATTCGCTCTTGACATTTGGGATGGTAAATCTAGAGTGACTTACCTATAGTAATGTGACGATGATTTAAGCCGATTTAAACATTAAAATGGTATGATGATTAACCCTTATACAAGGCAGTTGTTGCCAATTGTAGGTTATTATGTGAGAATAAAGCCAAGGCCTATTTTTTTGCAGGAACCCTTATTTGTTGACCACCATGAGATTTTTGATAGTTGTTTAGCATTGACGCCAGACCTGTCAAGTCAAGAAGACCCAGTCCCGGAAGAACTTATGAAAAGACTCAAGATTTCAAGGGAAACAATATGCCGAACAACCAAGAGATCTTTAACCATAGCAGTATTAGGTTCAACTTTAATTTGTTCAGAAGACTTAGATGTTCTAACATTGCTTTTATTAACCACAGTTGCAACTTTAGTATGTTCCTTAATCCTAACAGGGAAAGGAGGTTTCTCAATATAAGCAGCAGGCACAACTGGATCAACATTATAAATAATAGTTTCATCTTTAGCTATAATAGGTTCCTCTAACAATTCTTCAACAGGGGGATGATATTTAAACCACTTCTCCTTAGGGAGATAAACATGAGCTGCAAATGATTCACAGAAAGAAGCTACCATCTGAGAGTCAAATCCATATTTAGTATTAAACTTATGAAACACATCAGTTTCCATAGAAGATTTAACACA